TTCAAAAGTGGAACTCTAGCAGAAAAATGGTGGTATTGGTGGGAGGGCAGTGGAGTTCTGCCCCCCCCCACTTGCTTCTGATGGTTAGTGCCAGAGTTCCCAAATAAGAAGGTAGTAAAGATAAGTGAAACCACATGTGAGAAACCTGGAGAAATAGCAGCTCCTCTAGTTTTCCATTTCTCTCTGAGTCCAGAAGAGCCGATAACTAGTGGGAAAGCTGAATGTGGGAACCTGGGAAATTCAAAGCCAACTTTACTGGAGAATTTCTCTTTGTCATGGTAAGACAGCTTATCATCTGAAAGTCCTACAAGACAGAGCTCTCCTTATGGAGCCATTTGCAAAGCTCTGCTCTTCGTGGTCACTTAATTTAAATATATGGACCCTTCCCCATACCTGTTTCCTGTCATGATACATGAGTAGAGTTTTCTTTTTAGCTACTCATCCTCACAGTAACTTCATCTAGTAAATGCCCTCAGGAAACAGACCTTATTCTGGGGCCCAGAAATAACCAAACCAGACAAGGTGGATTCTCAGGGGGATTAGGCTCCAGAGATATAGACTTTCTTGTCACCGTATCCTGCTGACACCCCTTGAAACTAAAGCCTGGGACCTGACAGTACAGGTGGCCTGATGGATTGGAGCTCTCATGGGGACACAAAGGAAGACATACAACAAGGCCATTGACTCTACAGGATGGCCGGATCAAATTCAATGCCTTGATTTGAGTCCAGGAGCAGAGAAGGAGCCAAGTGCAGCTATCGTATGTTCACTGGGTCTGACATCCTTCAAGGGCTGGCTGCTGAGTCAACTGTGGATCAGAAGGCTTTTCAAAGGGCACAGCCAGCCTAGCATCCATCAGAAATCAGACAGAAGTATAAAGAGGAGTTTAATAGCCACTGAACCTTAATGGAATAGCGTGTCCACATTTGGTTACCCCATTCAGTAGGGGACTGGGAAGAGCTTACTTATTAATCAGGTAACTTATTTATCAAAGGGTGCTTATGCCAACTGGCACTAGGGGGCGATAGTGATCTAATTAAATTCATCACCCAAAGCTTTCCCACGGAAAACAGAAGCAAGGTTTTTCTGCTAATGACATTAGGATGTAAGAATTAGGATGAGTTCTGAAGAAAGTTATAGGCCCCTTTCCTATAACTGTTTTTCATCTGTCTGCAATAGCTTAGCTGTGATCCTCCCTGCTTAGTTTAGCTGGCCCTTGCAGTCTAGTTCCTTGCAGCTAATCATTGGTCCATCAAATAGCCATCTAAGGAGATATTTAGGATTAGAATAAAAATGTCAGGGAAACCCACTTAAATAGCAAATCGTTACCAAACTAAGCATCAAGGAGGATTTCATTTAAGCAAGTTCAGTCTTCACAGTTTATTTCTCTGCACCTCCCCCAACCCTCAGCTATCATTACTCCTTCCTAAAACAAAACAAACCAAAAACAAAACAAAACAAAAAGCAAACCCTTGTTCATTAAGGAAACCAAGGGAGAGTTGGAAGGGGGAGAGGAGGTAATGGGAGTTTAGAAAATTCCTTCAAAACTCTACTACTTAGTGATTTCTACAAGATGAGGCTATGGATGGGAATGTCCTGGGGTCAGACTTAGATCATCTGCCACCATGTGACATGACAATCCAGTCTTAATTAAAAAAAAAAAAAAAAACCAAAACCACAAACTCATGGAAGTTCCCATGAGCTCAGGACTTCAAAAAAACTTGGGTTCAGGCAAGGTCATAAATAGCTTATATTGTGCCACAAGCCCTTCCTTTTTTAGGAATGCAATCCCAGAGCTCTCAGGGCTGTCCAAAGGTCATCCATTCCATTCCCTGTCTTCAAAGAAAGAAGTCTTCACTTTTCTGGATGGATGGGCACCTTTTCCGTTCTTCCTTTTATCTAACTCATCGTCCTCCTGTAGAGAGTCAAATCCCTGGGTCTGTCCTTAGCTGTAATGGGAAACAGCTGGCTCTTGTACTTCCTGGAATAGCCCTTCCTCCACCTAGAACCTGCCTTGACTCCTTCAAGTTGAATAATCCTTTAACCTCTCCTCATAGATCCCCTTCTGTAACTCTTTAATCTCATTCTGTGCCCTCCTATGACTCTGAGCAAATTCTCCACATCTTCCTTAAAATATGAAGTGTAACACTGAACCCAATACTGTGGGAAGGGCTTGACTGGTGCTAGTTCATCCCACAGGAATTACCTTTTCTATATCCCTATATCAGATATTTGTCTCCATAGTAATGGCACTGAAATCTGTTGTCACATCATGTTTCACTGTGGAGTTCATTGCACCATGAACTTGTCTTTTCAGTATGCCTAGTCTTTTCTTCTCTTGCAAATTTGCAATAACGCTCACAGAATTTGAAAGTTGTAAGGAACATCAGTGCTGTCTAGTCCACATCAAATCACAAGAATCCCCATGATCACATGCGTAAGTGGTCATTCAGTCTCCTCTGGTTGGAGACTTTTAAGGAGGGAGAACCCACCACCTCGAAGCAACCCAGTCCACTTTTGAATAGGTCTCATTTTGTTTCTACAAGAGCCTATATGCTTCACTCACTGAACTTTTGTTAGTGCTTTCCTTCTTTTGTAATTTTTAAAAATAATTTATTTTTAGTTTTCAACATTTATTTCCATAAGATTTTGAGTTTTAAATTTTCTCCCCGTTCCACTTCTTCCTCTCCCCACCCTTCGCAAGATGGCATACAATCCAATACCGGCTCTACATATACATTCATGTTAAGCATATTTTCCCATTAGTCATGATATAAAGAACAATTAGAACTATTGGGAGGAACCACAAGAATGAAGCAATAAAACAAAACAACAGGAAAAGGAGAGCAAATAGCATGCTTCCATTTGCATTCAGACTCCATAGTTCTTTCTCTGGGTGTGGATAGCAATTTCCATTGTGAGTCTTTTGGAGTTGTCTTAGATTCTTGAATTGCTGGGAAGAGCCACATCTATCAAAGTCAATCATCCCATAATGTGGCTGTTACTGTGTACAATGTTTTCCTGGTTCTGCTCATTTCACTCTGCATCAGTTTCCAGGTTTTTTTGAAGTCTGCCTGCTCATCACTTCTTAAAGCACTAATAGTATTCCATTACATTCATATACCACAACTTGTTCAGCCATTCCCCAATTGATGGGCATCCCCTCAATTTCCAATTTGCCACCACAAAAAGAGCTGCTATAAATATTTTTGTACATGTGGGTCTACTTTTGTAAAAATTTTGAAGTCACTTCTTTAGGGCAGCTGTCTCTAGTCCAAAGTGAAGACTCTGGCATCCAGGGGGAACCATGGTCTGATCCCAAGGGGTGTATAATTCACCAATTTCAGAGTAAGATGATGGGTTGCATCTCACACTTCCCGTAACAGCAAACCTACTCTTATTTACAACGTAGCTAACCCACTCCCTTCAACAATTATAGCTTAACATTCCCCCAATCTACCTCCATTTTTCTCCCATGAATGGTTTGGTGTTGGGTCCTCAGGACAGTAATAACCTATATAATCCCCAGATGCCCACAGCAGCTACCTGGGCAAGATTCCTGTTTTTATTACAGCAGCTCTCAAAGCCTAAACACTAAGGTATAGAGGAGTTGCCTTCTTCTGCATTTATGGAAAGCATACCCACACCAGCAAAATTACAGATCCTTGAAGAATTCAATTATTAGCTACTTTGCTCAAATTGATGCCATTGACAAATATAGTCAGCATATTGAGATCATTCTATATTGGGAGAAATATTGAAGAGTTCCAGATCTAGGACAGATTCTTGAATACATCGAATCTACCCTGGTTGACTTTATATCTTCGACAATCACTCTTTCAGTACAAGAGTTGAATGAGTTTTTTTTTTTTTTTTACCTCTTCACTAGTAATAGTGTATATAAGGAGTATAACTATGAAATAATTCAGTTCAACAAGTATCTCTTAAATGTTTTCTATAAGCAGAGAATTCTGCTGGCAGAGACACAAAGTTCAGATAAGACTTAATTCCTGTATGAAAGTAATTTACAGTCCAGTAGCTGATGAGTTTCTTTAAGACAAACAAACAAAATGCCTCCAAATGACTGGGTCCTTCAAAAGAGTCAACTTGGAAGGGAATACACTTATTCCAACAATAACATTTCTGGAATGCCTAATCTGGGTCTGCCTTTAAAACAATTTATGAGCTACACACAAAAATTAATTTTAATATTTTGTATTTTTGTCAAGACCAAAAATACTATTGCTCATCTTGATTATCCACATTATTCACTAGACTTGAAGCCAGATGACTTTTGCCTGTTTCCAAAAATCAAACCCACACTCAAAAAACAACTGGTAAATATCAGAGCTGAGACTCATTCAGGTCTTCTGACTGAGAGTTGTTTTTCCATTATACCAAACTTTCTCTTTCTGTAGAAGGGAAGGTGGATAACTGAGGTTGGAGGTGTAATTCCCCCAATACCCAGCACACTAAGTTACAGGTAGTAGAGGCCCTTAAATCTTCCTTGAATCAATGAATCTCAGCTCTGATACTTACCAGCTGTTTTTTCAGTGTGGGTTTGATCTTTGAAAACAGCCAAAAGTCATCTGGTTTCAAGTCTGGGGAATAATGTGGATAACCAAGATGAACAACAGAGTTTTTGGTCCTTTCCTAGACAAAAACATAAAATTTGAGGCATAACTCTCTAACATCCAACACACAAAATTGGATATAGGAGGCACTTGGTCATTGAATAATGTTGTTGAATATTTCCTGCATCAGTCTACTAAGCCATCGTAGATTATTCTGCCCAGATTTGTCCTTTCACTCGGGTAAGAAAAAATGCATGAAGGGAAAATGCAACATCTTTTCATTGGTTATGTCAATGGGATTTTGACTGCCACTGGCAAACCATTTGGGTTTGAGTACAATGAACATTTCAAGAGATTGGCTGCCAAAGCATCGAGAGAATACAGAAAGGACTATCAATAACAGAGTCCTTTCTCCTTTTCCCCCAGGTTCTGATGCCAGCACAATTGAAATCCACATACCGAGTGGGTCCCAAAACTTAAATGATGCTGCTGCTCCAGAGGGTATCAGGGGAAGTCATGAAGGGCAACCATTGGAGGGATGAGAGGCTCCCATCCTGAATTCTTAAGGCCATTGTCGAGGTTTCCTGCTCTTTGGAGCAATGTGTCCTTCTCACCGGCTCTGCTGTCTCTTTGTCACTATTACCTTTACTCCTCTACCCATTCTCCCGTTTTTGAAAGGTTATTAACTTTTCCCTTACAAAAAAAAAAAAAAATCACTTTTAGGGTAGATGAATGAGCTGTGCCTGGAAATGGAAGAGCTAACTTGAGCATTCCCTTGTAAATGAGCTGTGCAACAGCTTATCTCAGCAATGTCACTCCCAGGCAGTTTTCTCAAGCTGGCTGGAAGCCGAAAGCTTGCTCCAAATCCTTTCCTGGAAAAATAAAGTGGTTTTAACTCATTCTACGAGGTTTCCAGTTTTCTTCAAGGACAACCTTACAAGCATGCTTGTCTGCAGATTGACCCTGGTAATGAATGAGATTAAAATGGTGACAGATGGCAGCCCTAGTGGTAGCAACACAGTGTATTTTCAGCCAGATAAATAGGTTGCAGTGGAATTGTACATCATAGTCTCTGTGCTACCATATTTGGTGGGTGAGAAGATGACCTGTTTGGATGTCAAAGCTTGTTTTTGTTCCTGACATTATGTTGAGCAAAAATATTTTCAGAAGAACCCTTGGAACCTCTCTGTAGTTATGATTCATGTAATGTTATTAACTGGTAGAACCGGAGAGAAAGAAGATTCCATCTTAGCAAGCTACAAAGGCAAAAGAAAGTCTTCACAGAAATGCTAGAATGTGCACTGATATGTTGCAAAAACAATAATAATTCTAAAAATAATAACCCCAAAAATAAAAGTGAAGAAAGTCTTATAGTTTCAGAACATCAGACACTTTGATTATCTTCTATTTTTACATCCCATTTGTCTAAACACATTCCCTTCCTTCTCCCAAAAGCCATTCCTCATAACATAGATTTTAAAAAAGAGATTGAAAAAAGATTTTTCAACAGAAGTAACCACCACATCTAAAAGTGCCTGGCACATAGTGAACATTTAATAGATGCTTGTTTGTTGATTGATTAAACAGTGTATGCAATGTTCCATACCAACATCCCCCCATATCTGCAAAGAAGAGTTCATGGAATTATAGGATCATAGATTTAAAGCTGGAAGGGACCAGTCTTTCCAGGAAACTGAATGAGAGGAAGCTTTTTCCTTACTTCCTAAGGGCCAAACTGGAACATTATGATTGCATACTGTTCAATTTGAGGTTTTATGATTTCTTCCATTACATTTTTGCAGTCATTATAGATGTTTTTCCTGGTTCTGCTTACTTCACTTTGCATCAGTTCATGTAAGTGCTTCTCTGTATTCTTCATAATCATTGTTATGGCGCAGAAATATTTCATTTCATTGATGTATCAATCAATGGCCATCTATTTTGTTTCCAGTACTTTGCTACTTGGAATCCCTTCTTCAATGAGTAGTTTTCATTCCCTGGAAGTGAGCTCATTTAGCCCATGCTTTCTGCAAATTTGTGGCTGACATGTGGTGTATTTTGGTTGGTTGGAATATGGCCACCACTGTAGTAATAATAATAGCTCACATTTATATGGTACTTTTAAGTTTATAAAATACTTTGCATTCATTATCTCATTTAATCCTCACAGTAATCTCATGATCATATCATTATCCTCATTTTACATGTGAGAAAAATAAAGTTCTAGAAAGTCAAACGACTTGCTCATAAGCACAAATTGTGTTGGAGGGATTTGAATCTAGGTCTCTCTCAATTCCAAGAACATTCTTATTTCTACTATGTAGCCTTTCATTGTTCTCAGTACATGGGTTCTTTCTGGCAAGAAAAACTCAGGGGTCTCCTTCTAGCCATATTGAGTGTGATTTCCATACACCTTGGCCCATTTCTTTAGTCAGGCCATTCTAAACCATTTTTGTGGCATGGACCCCCAGAGGTTCATGGATGTTAACAAAAAGTTAACTCTGCCCCTCAAAAGTATATACTACCTGTTTTAAAATTTAATCCACATTGTAATATTTTCTCCATCACTTTCTCAAGTCTAGAAATTGACAAAAAAAAAAAAATGAAGCCCTGATGGTAGCATTTGTCCATTTTTAAGGGGTAATGCTCACAATGGAAATTTAACAACTGGCTCTCTAGAATCATTAGAGCTGGCTCCAGCACACCACTGCAGAGATCCCTTTGGTAGTCTGGCGATGCTTGTGGACCCATTATAATAATAAGGTTCATCGCTAATGTTCATATTAGAAATGCAAAATTTCTGTTAGAAGTTAGTGAAAATAGAGATGTACTTTTTTTTCCTTTCCAAGGTCATGGACCCCATATGTAAAAAATTAAAAGCCCCTACTTTTTAAAAAATATTTATTTTTAGTTTTCAACATTTGCTTTTATAAGATTTTGAGTTCTAAATTTCCCCCCCTCCTGCCACTTCCCCCTCCCCAAGATAGCATGCAATTTGATATAGGCTATACATGTATGATCATATTAAACATATTTCCACATTAGTCATGTTGTGAGAGAAGAATCAGAACAAAGGAGAAAAACCATGAGAAAGAAAAAGCAAAAAACAACAAAAGAAGGAGAAAATAGTATGCTTTGACCTGCATTCAGACTCCATAGTTCTTTCTCTAGATGTGGACTTTCCAACACGAGTCTTTTGGAATTGTCTTAGATCATTGCATTGCTAAGTTTAACAAAGTGGGTCATCACACAATGTTGCTGTTACTGTGTACAGTGTTCTCCTGAAGAACCCCTACTTTTAAATATTTTGCAAATAAGTAATACCAACATGGAACCTTTCTGAGTGCAGAGTAGAACACTGGATCTCAGATTCTTTTTTCATTCTGGAAAAACTGTACCATTAACCCTCCACATTCTAGAGCTCAAGATTTATAGTTTTAGAAACCCTCTTTCCCTTACCCCTCATTAAAAGAGAGATAAGCAGGTGTTTCAATCTGTCAGGACCTAATTGAGGTTTCTCCCCTCTGATAAATAGAACTGAAGGAGTATTTAAAGGAGAGAAGAGAGCTTTATAACAAATCCAGAGAATCTAGGGCAAATGCCTGTTAATTTGTTAGCAAAGAACCTATCCCTCAGGAATGAAAATATCCTCTTCTTTTAATCACTAAGCATTTATTAAGTGCTTATTATGGAGTAGTCATTGTGCTATGTGCTGGGACTTAAAAGACGAAAGCAAAAGTCCCTACTTTTCAAGGGCCTCATTCTTTTGGGATAAGGGAATGGAACAAGCATTTTTAAGAGCCTACTATGTGTCAGGCGCTTGTGCTAAATGTTTTATAAATGTTTTCTCATTTGAGACAAACATATACATATGTAGGCATATAAAATATAGATAAAAATAATTTGCGTGAGGAGTTAGTAGTATCTTGAGCTTGAGTTGAACTTCAAAAGAAGTTTGAGTGATGGACATGAGAAAATGCATTCCAGGCACAGGGGACAGCCTGTGCAAAGGCTTGGACCCAAGGAATACACTGTCTTATATAAAGAATGGTAAGAAAGCCAGTTTGGCTCAACCATAGCGTGTGTAAAGGAGAATAATGCATTGGAAGTTCCAAGACTGGAAAAGTAAGTTAGGGCCAGGTTCTGAAGAGCTCTGAATACCAGATATAGGAGTTTATCCTAGAGGTGAAAGAGAACAGCTGGAGTTCATTGAGTGGAGTGAGTTGGCCAGACCTATGCCTTAGGAAAATCACTTTGGAGGCTGTGTGGAGGACTGGTGGGAGTGGGGAATGCCCTCACTGAGACTCAAATCTCTCTGTCTCTTAGTAGTTTTTCAGGCCATTACCCTTGCTCTGACTTCCCCCTCCCCTCCAGTTTTGACCCTGTAGTTAGCCAATTAAACATTACAAGGATCTCTGACAAGGGATCTCAAAATCTTTGCTCATTCATCTTGTCTCCTCTTGCCAAACACCAGACCTAAATTACTCCCACTCTCTGCCTGTTTGGTGGTTTTTCACGTGCTGCTGAATGGAGGTGGAGAAAGTCACACAACCATGATGACGGGTACATAATTAATTCATGTTATTCAACTTCAATTGAATCTTCACTGCTACAAAATAATCCTCTTATTTTTAATTGATTCCCTTGGGGCAGTGAGGTGGCCCAGTGGATAGAGTGGTGGGTCTGGCGTCAGGAAGACTGGAATTCAAATCTGGCCTTAGATACTAGTTGTGTGATCCTGGGCAAGTCACTTAACGCTCTTTGCCTCAGTTTCCTCATCTGTCAAACGAGCTAGAGAAGGAAATGGCAAACCACACCAGTATCTTTGCCAAGAAAACTCCAAATGTGGTCACAAAGAGTCAGACACAATTGAAACAACAATTGATTCCCTATCTCACTCCCTACAAAAGTTTATATAAACTTGCCCTTTCCCCCTCCTCCAGCTTCTTCTACTATCCCTCTTTGTTCTCTTAAGCTGAGGATCCTACCTCTATCTTCAACTTAGAAAATGGCCTTCCTCTTCTCCCCTTCTTTTTATCTCAAAATATCTTATCATTCCCTACTCCCTTCTCTTTTCTCCTAATCTATGACATTGAAGTAGTCTATCTCTCTGGTAAGGACATATACCTTTGATGCGTCCCCTCCAGTATTCTTCCATAGATTACTACTTCAATCACCCTCCCTCCCTTCCTTCCTCTTCCTCTTCCTCCTCCTTCTTCTCTCTCTATCTTTCTCTATTCCTCCTCTCTCCCTCCCTCCTCTCTCCTCTCTCTCTGTCCCTTCTCTCTCTCTGTCTTTCTCTCTCTTCTTCAACTTCTCCCTATCTGATTTCTTATTGCCTTATTAAGTGCTTACCATGTGTCAGGTACTATATAAATGCAAACAAGACATCCTCTGCCATCAAGGACCTTATAATTTAATGGGGGAAGATAACACATAAAGGTGAATTGGTCCCTCTCTGCCTCACAGGAAGTCCAAGAGAAAGTCCCATGAGATTATCTCATGGTGAGTAGATAGGAAGAGAGAGCACAGGAATGGAAACTATCTCCCCAATATCCTCTTGGTCCTCTATGGGGACCAAGGAAATTCTGTGTCATGTGTCATCTAGAAGTGCCAAGTCCTTCAGTACTGAGCCATAGCACACTTGTGTTAACACACTTTTCTGGAAGTGGCCAGAAAAGATCAACTCAGCTTCATGAATGATTCAATGGAGTGTGCTCTTGCCAGAACAGATTGGGGTAAGGGGTGGGTGCCATGATTACCTTTATTACACCACAGATAAAAATAGGCACATACAAGGCAATTCAGTGAGAACTTAAAATCTTGCTTCTGTCAGTTATTACCTGTGTGACCTTGGCAAGGTCATTTGTCTTTTGTGGGCCT